CCCTGGACCCAGAAGACAGAAAAAGTTGACAGTACGCACATACATATCTAATGCCATCGACACTCGCATGCGCTCTTGGCCCGCCGCGGTACGGCCCGCTATGGTGCGATTTATTCATGCCTTGTCCATGCGTATTTATTCAGCATTATGATCATGTGAAAATGCCTGTTCTTCCGAACGTTACTGTTTGGTGAAGTAAGTGGAGTATTGCTGATGAGCATCGGTCTGGCTGGTATCGCCATGAAGAAGAACGCTTCAGGGAAAAGACGCGAAGGGAAAAGATGCACTAGTTATCAATTGGTAAAGTACGCTAATCAGAGTATTTTGTGAAGGCATTTGTCTTTTAGCCTGGAGCTGGTTTATCTTCGTGCGTGTTGAAATTTGGTGGTGGCTGAAAGAAAGTTTGAGATTAATGCATAACATAATACTGGATGCATTACAAAATAAACTTGACTACACTGTATCTTTTTTTTAAAAAATTCATAAGCAATATCTGGCTCACAGCATTTGCTAAGAGTGGCTTCCTCCTTGAATCGTGGGCCTCCACCTAGATCACATCATCCAAGTTTAACAGGTAACTTCGCCTCTCTTCTCCGCTCGTGCCAGGCGGACCGCAGGACAACATCTTACGTGTTGCACATGGCGGTTACGTCACAGTCCTGTGTGAGATTGAAGCGGGCTGGTTGGCTTCCATCCGCTTGCCTATGGACGGGTCATATAGATCTTGTTAATGGGACTCCAGCCTAGGGTCAGACGACCACATCCCCCCATACTTTCCCCTCCCCCACGCGGCTGCAGGCACAGAAATGCACTCGTGCAAGCATTTGCTATGCCGGTATGTTGTGTGGGACCTGGAGTTCCCGAACGTGGACAAGTCACACCTTTGACAACGCCGTCAGCTGCGGACAGCTCGGCACGCCGCTGAAAACTGGCCGACCTAATCCTTTCCCAGGACATTGCTCACATCGCTGGTGAACACCGCGCGTGGGCATCAGCCCTGGCTTGCGCCCTGCTCGTGCGAGCCCAGACATAATGGGGCCTCACTGGCGCCGGACTTCTCGCCGCTGCATGCGGTGTCGAGGAATCTTGTCGCGGAATCCTCGCCACGCTGTCCGAAGATGGAGCAGGTGGGATGTTTCCGAAGAATACTTCCGATGCATGTGCTGCTGTGCGCTAAGCCAGGTGGGAGATGCGTTCGCCCCAACTGAATGTGATGCCATGGATAACTGATTCAGCGCTTCACAATGTGCACAGGTCATACATTATTCACAGGCTGCTGCTTTGAAGCGAAGATGCATGCATTCCATCTCGGGGATCATCCCGGCAGCCGGTCAGTGACGAACGCATCCGGTGAGCTGGGCTAGAGCTGGCCGCCGCCGCCGGTGACGTCAGAATGGTGGCGTCACGGGTTGAGACCCGCCGCTGAGAGACTGGCTCTTGGTGGTTAGTGACGTCACTGCTGCGTGCGTTCGTGGGGTAAATATAGATTCAGATGTGGAAAGATCTTGGTATTCGTGGAGTACCGACTTCCATTTGAGTATAACGACCGGTAATAACCGGACTTTTAAAGTGGACGTCTTGTGAACCGTTCCAGAAAACTAAGTTGCCCATGTGGCAAGATTCGCTGAGCTGTAGAAATATTACCTGACTTCAACTAGCGCTTGCAGCGCAGGGTCTGTAAGGAATTGGCGAGCAGTGGATGGCACGGTTGCTGATTGAAAAATCTCCCGCGTTTCCATCTTGAGCATGTGAGTTGCAAAGACTACGTTGCTTTTGGCGCATATAATATACGTGTGGCTCATTTGCCAGACCAAATGAGCAAACAAATAGCTCATACAAGGGAGGCAGCTAATGGGACACCCCACCCCCACTCCTTCCCTCCCAGTTCCTCATTACTCTTATTTTAGCACCGCAGATGCCTCCTGAGAGAAAGCTAGAAATCGCCGTACCCTTTAGAATGAACTATAGGGTGCAGTACGGCAACACCGAATGGATGTATTCGAGCAAGTCGAATGTGCGATCTTTGCCAGCTCTCTCATAATGAGTTCCCACTGAGCTCTGCCCCCCCCCCCCCAAGCCTCCGCCGCCCTTAAGAACATTCTGCCTGCTCCCCTGACCCATGCAGTTCATGTTCTGAGTAAAAAAAATTGAGGTTGGCACTGGGTCGTTTGCCTTGGCACGTGGCCCGACATTGACCAGGGACGTTGTCCGTCGGCGTTGTCCGGGTCAACGAACCTTGAACTGATTTCACCTCGCCCCGTCATTAAGTATAGCCTTGACCTCTGTGAACGCCATGGTATGATTCTGATAAGCAAGAACTGGCTCTATTGTTTGGTGCCAGCTGCAAGGGAATGCGGTCGTTATCGTGGATGCTAGAAAGCCCTAAACTAGTTCGTTAATGTGGGTGGTTTTCAAGGCAACTTACGCTCCTGTGACTTCATGCGACAGACGCCAAGACGAGGAATCCATGGCCATATTTGGCGGATATGCTGGTTAAAATTATAACTGTTTACATCTGATGGCCAGATCTAAAAACAGAGGGTACTTTTACCATTAACCGGTTACGGCTGGCGAATACCCTAGAGCATACCTCAGATGTCGGGTTGGGCCACACCAATGATTTACAGCACGTTTCATGCGCGAATGCGCACAAAATCACTAGAAATGGTCGTTAGGTGATAATGGTGGTTAGGTGGTAAATGGTGATATAAAGCATGAAACTGCGCTGTGTAAATCATAGCACATAAAGACACTAAAACAAAATGCGTTTTGACTATTTGCTCAACTGACTCTTATTGTGGTCCTTGGCCAGCCTACCGCAGGTGACGCGTAAGCACATAGTGACGCAATGCCCGGAATGTTACGTGGAGAGGAGCAGACGCCAGCCACTGAAGTCTGGGCTGGCCAGCAGACAGATTCAGCCATCGCCGATCACTTGTTCTGAGATCATTTAGCCCCCTGTCGCTTTCTGTTCAAAAACCCCTTGCTTGGTTCATGGCTCAAATTTGATTGACCGTCTTGTGTCAATAACTGTCTTCAGGACACTCTTGCGTTCTCACACGTCTTTCTGACAGACCTCCGTCCCAAGACCCTTGGAGTCGGTTCTCGCCTTCGAGCATCGTGTCTAGAACGTCCCCTGGCAGCACCAGTGGCATTTAGCCATCTTCATTCCAGCCTAAGCACTCGAGGCTCGTGGTCTCGGCCACATATTGTTCTGGTATTTTGAGACATCCTTGAACCTCTCAGGATGTCACATACCAGTCTTCGATCCTACAGCCGTCCGTAGACTCCAGTCGCACGGGTACCGAAAGTCGATCGCACTTTGCTAACGCTCTATAGTTTTAGACCATCTGACCGTCTCTGGGTCCATTTTATTGAACTCTGAACCAATGGACATTTTTCTATCGCAAGCCACGTTGGGCTCCGTGCGACCATCGTAGGCATGTTTGTTCCGCGGCCAGCTATCCTAATCGCGGTGCTTTAGAGTTGTCGGGCCCTGGCGGTCTTTGAACGGCTCTCATATTGTCACGACATCGTCTAAGCGGCATGACCATGGACAAATGGTCTGATCAAGTGACAACTCCGAACGCCAAACCACGTACGCACACGGCTAATCAAGATTGGTGGCCTTATCTGAGCATTGTCGTGAGAATGGTCACCTTTGTGGCGCCTTCCCATCTCTTCAGAACTGTAGGGTGGTCCTCCAGCGGTCCTTACTGTAGGCTGAAGCGTCTCATTCATGAAAGATGACTCACCATGAAAGAAATGAAATGTTAATACTACGGTTCATAGGCTATGTTGCGTACTTCTTCAGTTGAACAGCTGCTGTAGAGAATGGCACTTGGTAAAAAATCCTGATCGGTGTTAAGTTCAACACAATAAATGTCTGAGCGTCTGTGAATGGAGGGAAAGTTTCTACCTTGGGGATAAAATTTGTGACCACATAAGCTGAAACGAAACGCAGTACTTTGGTAGTTATTGCAACTGCAGCTGTGTGTGGGTAGAATCGAAGAAGATCAAGAAAGGCTGCAAACGATACCTGTATATAAACCTGTAGTTTTGAAAAACAGGCTTGTAAAAGCTTACTTTCTTGGCCTGCTGTAGCCTGTAAACCCCATTTCGATATGGCATTGTGTACTTAGAGCATAATTACGAAAGCGGTCAACAACGTAGTGGCGCAATGAAAGAGGCACCCATCTATTATCTCTGGGCTGGTGAGCAGGTGCGTGAGTGCTTACTTTTCGGGCCTGTCGTAATTATGTAGGCTCGGTTTGAATCCAGTATTTTCTGTTTATGGAAAGTCGTGACACAGGCCTAGCGAGGTTGGCGAGCTTTTGTGTGTCCTCTCACTTTCTCACGAGTAAAAGTTAGTTTAAATAGGCAATGTGGTCCGGCAAAGTTAACAATTCAGGGTCTGTTCAGTTTCTCGATCTGATGGCCTGGCAACCTCTGCTCTCGCGTCCTGGTGCATGCCCTATAGTCAAGCGGTCGGTTTGGCAAAAGTTGCACCTCGTTTCCCCTAAAACGGACACGTCAACGTAGAGTTTTCTCAAAGGTTGTGTGTCGCATAATGCCACGTATGACACCCCCACGGATGGTGCCCTCGCCGAATGACTGCGGTATTGTATTGGTCATGGTGTGCGGCGGCGCGATGACGAGCACTATACCTAAAAATAAAGCAGTGTGGTTTAACTCGACTCAGTTCTCTTGCACGCCTCTTTAATCCCATCCGGCGTGGTCAGTATGGTAAAGCGGCTGGATTTTACCGCAGATCCCATCTCGGTTCCGCTTGAATGGACCACAGTCCGGGCGTCGGACTCGGCGTCCATGATAGTACCTTGTTAACAATGCGCATACTCCGCGTCCAAAATAGCGCTGCTGGAAAGACTTTCTCGCGGGACTCCCGCACTACAGCCGGCCTTGTGCGCCGTGACGTCACAGTCCGGTGCCGCACATATAACGAGCCGGCCGCTGGGGACTGCATACAGAAGCGTTTGGTGGCCAGACCAGACAGCAGACGAGAGTGGACTCTGGTCAGCTGCAGTGCAAGACTGTCAGTCAGTAGTATGTGGAAACTGCTGGTCATCGCTGTTGTTTGTGTGCAGCTGTGCTGTGCACAATACCCAAGATACCTTCGTTTCCCGGTTGGCAGAGGTAAGAAATTTTAATGTAGTATCTTGGTGACTTTATCAAGACAATTTGTACCGCCTAACTGTTATCGCAGTCAGTTCACGAACGTGACAGCAAGGTAGCTTTTAATGAACAAAGCGGCCGCAAAACTAAACTAAGCCTATCAGATGTGCTGGCTGCGGGATCCAGAGCGCTAACTCTCGGCTCCTTTTTGTTCTGTACAGGTGACGACACCAAATGCCACGACAACCAGGTTGACAAGAAGTACAACATTGGTGATGTCTGGAGCTCCCCATTCTCTGGCTGTAAACAAAGTCACTGTGTCAAGGACAACGGCGTCCTTTACATTGACAGATACCAGTGAGTTTGCCTAGTTTGACCCTGACAACCGTGGATAAGAGGGGTCGATAAATGAGAACAGCGTGGCACGAGCATTTGAGCAGCAGCAGGAGAGCAAGCTCTTTCTCTTAGCTTCATTACATGTTGAACGCAGACTGGCAACTTCCCTTCTTTTTTATTCAAAAGATAAAAAATGACCCATGTTTGTATGATTTTCACGTTTAAGCCGTTGCTTTCCGTGAATTCGCACCATTTTTGGCATACTGGCTTCCTCTCATTAGCGCCTTACCTTTGCAGGTGTCCGTCGGTGAGAAAGCAGGTGGACTTCAAGAAGCTGAAGGCCAACAATCTGTTCTGCCGCGAGGCTCGGGGAGACAGGAGGAAGGCGTTTCCCGACTGTTGTGCCCGCCTTGTCTGTAAACACTACGTGGACGGGAAGCTTGTGCCGCTGCCGGCGCACAAATATCCCCTGCTCTGATCGGGCTCAGATGAGACTGGGATGGCAATTATAGTTACCAAAGAAGAGACCTTGAAGTGCTTGTTTGTGTATGCATTTGCTCGTTAAAACATACATGACCAGCTGGTTCCTTAGTACGTGATCCTTTGATCTGATATTGTGTTTTTCGACCATCGACTTGCTATATGGATGCGTGGGTGGGTGTTGATGGTGGCGTGCGTACTGTGTGCATCTCTTCATCCGTTGAGCAATATGATCTCGTGTTTCAAGTTTTCTTAATTTGTATCGTCGATTGAGCAGACTTTTGGCTACAACGTGCTGCGATTGAGTTTTCATCGCAGTGTGATAGGTTTCTGTGTAGCTATGCACTTCATGGTGGATAGCTCAGTGAAGGTTGTTACTTCTAATTAAATAAAACATATGGAATTTGTTTTTGAGGGTCTTATGCCTCTGCGTGAAGAGTGAGTCGGAGAGGCATCGGGATGCTGAACGAATTCTGTGCTGCTCTTGAAAGTAAGAGCACAAATAGGAATTTGGGCATTACTTAAGCAAGACACTGCACCGTTTCCATGCGAACTTGAGGGGGGCTAACAGCATACTTCTGGGAGAAAGTTGAGCGGGCCGTTGCAGCGTTCACTGGCTAATATTTAAAGCAATATGTGCACAAAGCATACTCAAAGTCTATTTAATGAGAAAAAAACACGACAGATGAATGGAAACTGTGGCTGAACACAACTGCTACTCTGTATTCAGCAATCGTACTTATTTGATTCAACGAAGTATGCTTTGGAAATCCATGGTTTGGGAGCAGAGAAATGCTGCATTCGTAATCCAGCGGCAATGGGTACGGGTCTTCGGGTGGGGGGGGGGGGGGGGGGGGGGCGGGGGTAGGGGAGGGGGGCGCTGTTCGTTCCAATTGGCATGGAAAGGTCAAATGGCAGCTGACAAAGAGGCTAGCCCGGCCCGAGGCGGGCGTGTTGTTCCACTGCATTGTACTTTTTTTTTTAAAGCCGGAGGCAAAATTGTGCAGTGTTCTGCGTCGGCCTTGCTTGGATATCAAGGAACGCTCTCCAAGCTCTGTTTAGCAAGTACTCTTAACCTTCTATGCAATTCATTCAAAATGCAACTTAGAAAAGTTTACGCGAACAGCAACGCCGTTCATGTTATGAAGATGACGCTTTCTACACATTCAAGCGTGCGCCAAAAGCAGATTGACAGCAAAACAGCATTCCTAGTGGATGCTTACTTGAACCATGGATTGTACGACGCTGAAATATACTAGAGAAGTGTAGAGCTTGGTTGCGCGGAATCGACTGCAATTTGCATGGATACCATAAAAATTCGAATTTTAGATGTCTGATACATCAGAGCATCATTTCATTGGAATCTTGGGCCTGAATAAGGTGCGTACGACATATTTTATTCGTTAATAAAATGCGAACACAATAGCATATTTAGGTGAAACTGTCACGCAGAATTTTGGAGCGAGCCAATGTCACAGCAAACATATTTGAAGGGATATGATGCCCATGCTGAAACGACGCCCTCTGGTCCTACAAACGATGCCTTCTGGTCCACCTGTAGTACAATACAAGACGATGGTCACTCCAAGCATGCGCGCCAGCGGTCTCTGAAGGGGACGTAGATGACGGAAAGCCAGATGCCGTCGCACTATCATTTCGGTGGCATCTTGCCTTACTGCAGTGATGCACTCATCCATCGATTGCGTCGCTCCCATAGTAAACATATGCAGGTAACGAGCTACGCACATGGCGGCACGCTGGTCGACTGCATCGCTCCAGTAGTACGCATGCGCAGGTAGCGAGCTACGCACACGTCAGCATGCTAGCCGAATGGAAACAAACTGGTATCTCGAGAGTCGCTCTGGAAAGGCTGTCCGCGTGGGCGAAGTGTTGGAACGAAAAGCACATATGCCACAAATAGGCTGATCGGAGAGAACGTGCGGAACAGCAAGTCGGCCGCTCCTGATTAAGGTGTGGTAGCTCACGCTGGCGATGTTGACTGCCACAGGGACTGCGGTGGCCGACGGCAAATAGCGGAAAGATGATTGTGTTAGCGCTACAAGGAGCGGAACTACAGCGTAACGTGGATGACATATTTAGATAACCTCAAGAGACAGACGAGGGGAGCTTGTTGCATGCGAAGACAACGCATCCCTTACGATAATTGCTGGGAGTAATGTCAGTGGGCATCGTGCACAGAGCAGCAGCGCAGAGCCTCCCCCCCCCCCCCTCCCTTGAGCTTGATAACATCACCGATGTTCGAACAGCGGCCCAGACCACCCCCCCGCCCCCGGACGGTGATGACGTCACCGATTGTTCAGATGACCGTTCAGGGCCGTTGAGCCATGCCATCTTAAACGCTCGTCAATCCAGGCTAGCGCCTCTGCACGACGGAGATCTTGATCTGGACGTTCCGCCAGCCCGGTAAGCCGGGACGTTGCTGGCTTCGGTTGGAGAATCCAGCTGCGTGCCATTTCCTTGCACACCTAAAGCAGCAGTAATCCGTCCAATGAAAACGATTAACATGCCGCTACAATCTTTGCGCCTGAGGTGGCATGAGCTTAGTTAGGGGCTTCTCCTTACGCTCCTATCTGCACTATCGCTGCGGTTTTGTGAATTTCATGCATTATTTACGTGTTCGTCGTCCTTGGAAGGCATTCGATCTGACAGTTGCAGCGCGAATCCGTGACGTGCCGGTTTTGTGCATGAGATTGGGCTGGTTTGCTGTAGCTTATGACGTCATAGACGTGGTTTTGATGTCACACTAAAGGACAGATCGGTCACAGTGTTTGATATGTCGTAGGTGAGTGGCAGCGTCAAGTGATTAATAGAGTTGGCCCGATGCCGTAGTATGGGTTGGGACTTTTGGTTAATGACCATATTACTGAGTCGGAAAAATTGTCGCGAGCCATTCTGGTAGTTGTTGAAATTAATGTGGTCAAACGACTCTGCGCGTGCGCGTATATGAGCACCTCTGTACGATGTTCTTAGCGGGTTGTCACGAAGACACACGCAACGAGAAATACACGGGCACATGCCGTTTGAATGTGTACCCTCCCTCAAGACATCAGGCGGACACATGAAATGGACTCGCCAGAAATGCGCGTGATTGCATGGCTCACGGCGTCTCACCAAAACGTAACGCCACGATGCCCACAAAAGAACAATGAAGATATTCTGAGGGTAAGATGCAGTGAGCGGTTCGTGGGGAGCCCTCGAGGATTCTCTCCGAATATTAGGCGTCTGCGGCTGGATGCAGTCTTCAAATCCGGCCGACATTTCTCGATGATGTGAACATATTTGCTAGACATTGATCATCATCTTGAGACCCTGACTAAAAACATCACCATCCACAATAGATGATTGTCATGGGAATTGTGCTACATATTTTTGCCGCGAGGCCTTATTGAAAAGTGCATATTTACATTTAATACAAATCATAGAGGGGGCTAAGTCACCATGTGACTTTTCCATGGCGTTGCAATGCACTGACTATGAAGTCATGGTTCTCAAAACTAATGCAGTGTGTACCGTCATGACCCACCCGCCGCCCTACCTCTCTAAGCCCATCCGGCATGTTCAGCATGGTCGACCGGCTGGTTTTACCACAGATCTCATATCGGCTCCACTGGAACGGACTTGTCACCTTATCGGCGCCCGAAGGCCGGGCGTCAGACAAGGTGTCGAGAATAGCACTCTTCCAACGACGTTCTCCCCGAATGACCGCAATGTAACCGCTGCATGCACGGCGTCCAAAACAGCGCTGCTGAACAGATTTTCTCGTAGGCCTCCTACACGACAGCCGCCCTATGCAACGTGACGTCACGATCCGGTGCTGCATATATAGCGAGCCGGCCGGTGGAGACTGCATACAGCAGCGTTTGGTGGCCAGACCAGACAGCAGACGAGAGTGGACTAGGTCGTACAGTGCAGACTCAGCAGCAATATGTGGAAAACTGGTCATCGCTGCTGTTTGTGTGCAGCTGTGCTGTGCACAGTACCCGAGGTACCTTCGCTTCCCGGTTGGCAGAGGTAAGTTTGGGTTGGAGAGATACTGTTTCTTCACTTCGCTTGTGCTCAACGACGACATAAGACAACATTGGCTTGACATTTTCAGCATGGAAAATGCCGGATTGCCAAGATGAATGTTTGGATATTTTGACTTCGAGGATAGCGAGCGATCAATTTTAACCTCCGATATAACCCGCGATCCGCTCCAACCAATGATCTTGTCTAACCCGCGGTCATATCATATTCAGATGACGACACCAAATGTCATGACAGCAACATTGACAAGGAGTTCAACATAGGGGACGTATGGAGCTCCCCCTTCTCTGGCTGTAAACAGAGTCACTGCGTCAAGGAGGAGGGCGTTCTCTACATTGACAGATTCCAGTGAGTCTGACGGCTTGATCTCTCCAGGAAAGTCGCGCAGTG